GACGTTTTAGAGGCATGGAATCTGACAAGTAGGAATTTTGTTTACACTGCATCCGAAGAGTGGTTTACAGGCATTCTGCCACTTAAACGAGAGCTGTACCAAATTCAGCACCTCTTTTAAATGGATTTACAAAAATCTACAAGTGTAATGTTAATTCTGAGAAAATAGATGAAATGAGGAAAATGAAGAATTAAATCATAAAATCAATGAGTGACACGGGAGGCTTTGCCCATGTGTAAGAACATAAGAAAATCTTGATTTCAGATTTTGAATATTTCTGGTTTAGGAAACAGCAGAGGATTAACTACATTGAACAAGACTGACTTAAAATTTGCTAAGCCTGTTATGGAGTGTTTTAAAAAGTGGCTCTGTTTCTCTTTGTGCTATGTGTATTCTCATTGTCAGCTTTTTCCTGTTTAACAGACAGAACAAGCATTTCCTCATGTTATGTGGTGATTTATTAGCTTACACACACACACACACACAAATAAAATATTCTGTATTATTTGAACATATTTGAAAAACATGCACGGTCAGCATGCTTGTTCTTTTATCAAATTCCCTCAAACCAGGAAGCATAAATTCAGATCATCTTTTGTCTCAGCCTCTTAATAAGGCATTACATCACAGTTTTAAACTGTCATTGTGCCGTATTCTTTTGAAGTTAATGCTATTAAGTTATACTAACTGAAGATGAACAAGAATTAAGTTCCTGGCAATTCTGTTTTCCACATGTGAGGTCTCTCACCAAAGCTGTTCCGCTCACAACCCATGTGCATTTATTACACTGTATAGTCTCTTATTCTAACACAGAGATACTGAAGAATTCTCTCAGAACACCATGCTACATAAGGAATGACTGTTCGCCTCAGACCGAGGAATGGAGACCAAGGGTACAGTGCTCACAGTCCAGCCCAATCACCTGCCATTAGCTGACACGATTATGACTATTTCTTTTCTATCTTTTTGGCTGAGTGATTCTCAGACTTTACTGTGCATAAAAATCATATGCTAGTTTTAAATCCTTGACTAGCCTCCTCTCCCCACTCAAAGTCAATCACTCAGTAAGTTCTAGAGAACTTGTGTCTTTCCCATGTCTTTCTAACTCATTTATGAAGCCAAAAGTGCTGGGCCATCTTCTTGGCCCTTCTTTCTTGTGCCAAAGCTACCCGTCAAACACTTGAAGGTTAAAGGTACACAGAAGTTATAATGTTTTCACTACAAAAACCATGATTCAAAATAACTTTTTAGTTGGCCTGGAACAATTCCATCAGCAGAAAACCTACTTTTAATTTATGGTTACTGGCTGCTGGGCAGAACATCTTGAAACAAGGATTTTTATCACGTCAAGTTAAAAGAGAATTATGAAAGTACAACTAACAGGGTACTGTGGTAATAATATTCCCGTTACTTTATGATTGTGTCATTTGACATACAGCTAAATTATTCAAGATTTTATTTCTGGAGAAAGCAATACTAGGCAACCAAATGGTCTTTCAATTTTCATGATATATTTTACCTGCAGAGTTTTCTAAATATAAAGAAGTTAAGAGATATAAGGCTGGGGCAGTTGTCATGAGCCTTAGAAAGTCATTTCTACTAACTTTTTTCTTCTTGCTGTTGTGTTTTAAGATGGTTTTTCTGTGTAGCTTTGGCAGTCCTGGAACTTGCTACATAGTCAAGCCCGGCCTTGAACTCACAGAGATCTCCCTGCCCCTCTCTCCCAAAAGCTGGGACAACTCTTAAGCTAATCTATTTTTATTTTTCAAAGATTCTAGTCTATGCTAAGTAACTGACTTTAAATTGAGCTTATATTAGGAGTGAATCAATACTATAATATTCATTTTAAGGCAGGATATTAACAATCAAATCACAAAATTGTCTTTCCAAGGCTCTGTAACAGAGAGATTACCTAAGTTCTTCCAGAGAGTGACATTGGCATTATTACCCTGGGCTTCGGGACTCCTCTAACAAATCCAGACAGTCTCCAGCCAGGTATTGCCTGTATTTGTAAAGTTGGATGATCTAAAATGGCACCATTTTTTTTTCATTTTTTAGAAACTCTAATCCCCCTCTGATACATGATATTAGATGATCATGTTATTGGCTCCTAAAAAGAAATAGAATTCCAATATTCATTGATCATATAATTAGTCTAATATTTTAATTTTGGGGGAAACTAAACTCATAGAACTACGCACACTGCCTCCAGGAGACCAATGAAGTGAGACTTCCTAGTCTGATAGGAAAAATCATTGGGAAGGATTAAAAAAAATGGTTCTAACCTTGAAAAATAAATGTTGTCAGCTATGGGTATAGTATATCTTAGTAAGCACAGTTTGATGAGGTCTTATATATGAGTTTTAACTAAAGCATAGAATTCCAGAGTTCAGGTTTTATGCCGGTGACCATTGGACAAAATTTTGGGCCTTAGGAGCGGTAGGTGTTAACACTTGCAATCATCCAACTCAATGAATCTGCTGATTTTTAGGAAAGATTG